CCCCCCCCCAGTATCCTGGCCAAAGGGGCCAGCCACAGTGACAGCGCCCCCAGCCCCACCCCTCCCCCGCTGGCCGAGCCTGGCCACAGCCGGCCTGGACAGTGCCATTATTAATTCATTGGGAGGGCTCAGCGTGGAGCCTGCACTCTGAGCCTCTTTGGAGGCCCAGCCCCCTCCTTTCACTCCCTTGAAGTGAGTGAGGCACCCAGCGGAAGAGAGAGCTGGGGCCCGCAGGCCCTGCAGGCCAGCTGTCACCCCACTGTCCTGTCCCCACCTCTCATGCTCACTGAGGAGGCATCAAAATGGATGGGGGAAAGGATTAGGGGCTTCCCTCCCTCCCTCCCTCCCTCCCTCCATTCAGAGTTTGCTGGGAGCTCTGTGACTTGGTTTCCCAGGATTTTAAAGACACCAGTGAATGGGAAGGCTTTCCCAAACTGATGGGGGTTTTTTAGCCCAAGAAGGTAGGGTCAATGCCGGATTCTCAGCTAGGGGAATTTCTAGCTTGAGCAGGCACCAAAAGCCTGCAACCAGGACAGAACCACGAGTCAGCCAGATCCTTGGGGGGGCTTCCTCCCTGGGGGGTTGGAAGGACAGAGGCCAGCCCTGAAAGTGTGCAGTAAAGAGATCAAACCTGGGGCAAGGTTTAGGCCTTGTCCCACTGACTCAAGGGAGGCCCAGGCCAGAGGGAGCAGTGGTTAGGCCAGGGAAGGAATGTGAGCCTTCCTGGCTCCTAAGGCTGCAGCCCTTGTTGGGGGCTGGAGCAGAAGAGCTGTACAGGAGAGAAAAGCCCAGACTTGGAGCCTCACTCTCCAGTTAAAGGGAGGGAAATGGTGAGAACAAAACAATGAAGTCCAACTCCCAATCCAAGATCTGGAATGCACTAGCTGTAGCTACCCTAGGCTTGTGTGGAGAGTCTTCTGGGATGGCACTGGTACCATGAGGACAACAGCCCTGTGGTGCTGGCATGGTGCAACAAGCAGAGCCCAGTGGTTAGGATACCTGGGTTTTGACCTTGACTTCTCTGAGTGGCCCTGTGACCCCAGGCAGAGGTCACTGACCTCCTGCAAAGTCGAAGTGCTACACTTCTTATAGCAGTAGATCTATCTTCAAACAAAACCATTCATAAAACACCAAGAGCCAGGCGCTAGTTCAAGACCTGCCTGGACGACAGAGCAAACCTAGGCAACTTTTCAAGACCATGCCTCAAAATAAAAAGATAGCTGGGATGGCTCAGCAGTAGCCATGCTTTGCAGCCAAGCATGAAGACCTGTGTTTGGTTTCTTGCCTCACACGATAGAAGTTAAGAATATGCAAGCTGTTCTCTGATTTCCACATGTGCTTTCTCACACATGTGCAAACACACACACACACACACACACACACACACACACACACACAATGAATGAATAAAAATCTAAGAAAAATTAAAAAGGTAGAATGGGGATGTGCCTCACTGGTAAAGCACTTGCCTAGCTTGCATGAGGCCTTAGTTTTAACCCCAGTACTTCAAACGAATAAAAAGTGGATATAAAACACATGAAATTGGGTAGTTAGCAGATTTTTTAGAAGGCTAACACTTCAGCATTGTTTAAAAAGCCAGTCCAGGAAGACTAAGTTTAACACAAAATGGGGGGGAAAGGGGGGGGGGGGTCAATCCAAACTGACAGGCAGCCATAAACTGGCCTCAGCAATCCTTGGTACTAAGAAGGTTCTAGCAGACATTCTCTTTGTTTGCACATGAAAAAGTTAAAGGCAGCTTAGGGTACAGCCTTGAAGCTCTCCAATTAGGGATAAAGTTTGATTTGTAGTGGCTTAAAGAGGTGGGTACATTTTGACAGCTGTGGTGATGCACACCTCTAGTCCCCAGCACTTGAGACGCAGAGGCAGACAGATCTCTGTGAGGTCAAGGTCAGTCTGATCTATAGAGTGAGACCCTGTCTTAAAAAACAAATATAAAAAACAAAGCTACAGAGAAACCCTGTCTTGAGAAACCAAAAGAGAGAGTACATCTTTAATCATTTCTTCAAAATATATTTAAAAATATAAATAAAATGTGACCTAGCACAATGGCTTTGGAGGCTGAGGCAAGAAGCTAGACATGAGTTCAAAGCCAGCCTGAGCTATATGGAAAAAAAAAAAGCCTATCTAAAATATAAAGTAGGGCATTGGTGGCGCATGCCTTTAATCCCAGCACTCAGGAGGCAGAGGCAGGCAGATCTCTGTGAGTTTGAAGCCAGCCTGAGTGCCAGGATAGGCTCCAAAGCTACACAGAGAAACCCTGTCTCAAAAAACCAAATATATTCTAAAGTCTGTAGACCTGAGTGCCACCACTTCAGAAACAGTACTGAAACTCCTAGGCCCTAATTCTAACCATGACCCCTAGCCATCACTCCACTAGCTCATTCCTGAAGCTCCAAGGGAAGGTGATCCTTGATGGCTTCTGCTATACATCCCCCTTGCATCCTTGGTTCCAGTCTCTCCTGCCTCCCCATGCTCCAAGATCCTGAGTCATCTGGCCCTAGCTGGGCACACCTGGGTACTGCAGGGGAATGTCAATCTTGGGCCCAATGACGTAGTGGCCCTCCTCCAGGGTGTGGGCTGTCACTGTTGTCCACTGGCGGCAGGAGTGGATCAGCAGGATGTCACGCTCACTGACGCCCTCAGCATACTCCCCTGGGAGGGAAAGGAAGAGAGAGGCAGAAGGAAAGAAGAGGAACGGTTAGGAGAGGAAAAAGAGACTGGGTGATCCCCACCCCCATTCCTCATCAAGCCCCTGCCCAGGAATTGCTCCCCGTGATCCCTGCACTGCTCAGCAACACTGGGGGGTGGGCAGTCAGCTGTCAGCTGTGGCCTCTGGGCTGTGTGAGTCCATCCTGAACCTCAGAGCTCTGACTCCCTGTGGGGCCTCCGCAACTATAGCATCCACAGCGTCTCATTCATCATCCCACTGCAGTGTCTGCTGTCCCAGCCCAAGCCGGGGCTGGGGACTCCCAGTGGATGAGTCTGGGCCAGCCAGCTCCTGCCCTCCAGGCATGTTCAGGCCTCAGGAGGTGGGGAGGAAGCAAGTTTGAAGCACTGAGCTGAGCGCTTGTAGGGATGTGGGGGAGGGGGACATCATCAGGCAGGGGTGGAGTAAGAGAGACTTTGTTCTTGAACCAGGCAAATTCACACCAGCAGGATCCCACCTAGTCAGGACCTAGGCTAGGCAAGGGAGGACCGAGGAGGAATCTGTTCCTGTGGGTCCTGTCTAGGAGAGCTCACAAAGTCACTGTCAGCTAGCTCAGAGTGGCAAGGCTTACAGGAGCCCACTCCTGGATCATTCAGAGAGACACTCTCTCTCCACCCACTGCCACTCAGTCTCATGGTCACAGGACCGGGGGAGTGAACCCTGGACACCCAAATCTCACCTTGAGAACCCATTCCTTAAAGTTGGGGTAAGACATGCAGGGGATTTAGGAAACGCAATAGGGGGAGGAGGGAGACTAGGCTTCAGAAAGCAGCACTAGGGCAGAGGTGCTGGAGTTGGGAGGGGTCTGGGCCCAAGAGGCTCCATCCCCAGCAACGGTTTCCAGGGGAGCAGGACTAGCAGCCCAGCTTCCAGGAGACTGATGGGGCGTATCCTGGATGCAGCTGGTGGGCACAGTGGGGGTGGGGATGTCTCCTTCCCAGCCCCCTACTCCCCACACACGGGAAACGGTTTACTCTAACAGTGCAGGGGTTCAAAAAGCATGCCCATATGGTGTGTATGAATGGGTGCCGTATCCGGGGCCTTCAAGGGAGGATCGTCCACTCTGTGTGTGAGTATGTGTGTGCCAGAGCATGCCAGGGGAGGTTTGTCTGAGACTTCCTCCTCAGCTCTCTAGCTCCTGGAAGAGATGAAGGTCTGCCCTCTCCAGCTCTACAAGCTCTTTCTTAGGCCTAACCTAATAGGTAGGCCCCACCCACTCTTCCATAGGGACACAGGCCAAAGCCACACAGGTATACAGGGGTCACCATCACCAACAGTTCAAATGCCTGTCACCTAAACAGCACAACTCAGTATCAAGGAACGATTCCTGAATGCACACCCACGAGGGGACCTCAAGGACACAACATTTCAAGTATACATTCATACTGTAACGGTGACCACAGTCATAACCACGCGGTCACAGGCACCATTGCTCATTCCTTCATTCATTCATTCATTCAATGAATGAATGTCCACTCCACGATCTTTGTCTGGCCCTCCCCCAAAAGCCAGGTGGTCGGTGGCAGAGGCACAGGTGTCAGCGCAGAGAAGGCCTAGCCTATACACAAGGGCTCAGAAAAGAACTCAAAGAAAGGGGTGTCAAAGAGATGCGTGGGAAGTGAGCAGGAAGAACCTAGGGCAGAATTTCCTATTCACAAGCAGACACAGCCCAGCTGCACACACAGTCTTGGGATCACACGCTGAGCGGTAAGTGAAGTCCGACAAGAGTTCGACTGCCAGGTATTCCTGCTAATGGACCCGGACACCGATGTCCCACAGAGCGTGTTCCAGCCTGCCTGGTGCCCACTGTACCCAGTTCTTGCTGTTGCCGGTCAGAGGAGAGGCTGCCAGTCCAAGAAGAAGACAGCACAGGAGTCCCATTAGCATTCAGGGAAGCGAGTGTGCCAACGCGGGCCAAACCTCTATTCTTCTCACACACAAAACCCCCCGGCCTGGGTGCCAGCCCCGGCTCCCGCCCCTCCCCCCGCCCAACAGCT